GCAGCGTATCTCGATTTGTTCGTTGGCATCCGTGATGTAAGACCCCTTAGACTGGAAAAAATTATTTCATACGGATATTGTATGCAGACATCTACCGTTCATCACAGCAAATATATATTTTTTAATTTAAAATAGGATCCACCGTCATACATTTTTGTTGTAATGGACGGTGAAGATCAGACACCGTATGCATCTCTGTCTCTGCATACGATGTTAGTATGGAATAATTTTTTTCTCAGGATGGAGGTTTGAATCCCTCACTGACGACGTTACCTTAAGGAGGGTGGTACTTGTAGTTGTTGAGATCTAGATATACATCGGTTGATGTGGTATATATATAAATCAAACAGGAAAACGATCGACGAAGCGAAAAAGTAGAACGAGATAAATGACACCCGAAAAGAACAACACAGCAGAACACACAGATTTACGTGGTTTGACAAATTGTCTGTGTCCACAGAATTGGAGAAGATTTTACTACTTAAGGAATTTACACCAGTCGATCACATCGATTTACAAGAGGAATCTCTCACTCTTCGTTGCACTCTCTCTTCTTCTCTCTCTATTCTTCTCTCTCTATATTGAGATACACCGAAGAAAACTCTACACCGAGATAACTCTACACCGAGATAGATAAACTTACAAGAAAAATAAACTAAATTTCTCTTCTACCACAAGCCACAAAAAAGAAGCCTAGGGAGAACAATCTTCTACTTCTTCCTTCTTCTTCTTTCTGCAGCAAGGAATTGCTCCTCATTGCACTTCTCTTCCTCTACCCCGAGGAAACCTTCCTCTATCCTGACGAAACCGAGGAAGAACTCAAAGCGTAACTACGAAACTCAAGGAGAGCCATCCGAAGCTTTTATCACTAACAGGAGGAAACAAAGAGATGTTTCACTTCACAAAAGAGTAAGACATGAGTGATTATTTGTAAAGAGGTGTGACTCTAAAAAGCAAAGTAACCGCCCAAGCATAGTTGACCGGGCTCCACCGTTTCTAACAATTCTCCCGCTTGGAGACCAATACACAAGTTGTAACATCTCCTTCCTCAAACTGATATCCTCCACTGGCAGTGTTGCATTTCTTCAACATCTATCATTTACCTCTGCAACTTAACAACTTAATGCCTCTGTATTCCAGAAGACCAATTGAAGATGTGCACAACTTTAGTTTCTCAAGAGCAACACCCTCGGTTAACATATAAGTATACTCCTCATAACTTTGCACCTCAAATTTATTTCCTGGGTCACTCTTGTCTCTTCTTACAACTCCCACTGCAAGGGCAACATCTTGTCTCTGTTGAAAGCCTTTTTCAACAAGTCTACCTTGTACCTCTTACTGACATCACTCTCATTCTTCACCTGGTACACCCACTTGTTGTGCAATGCATTATTCATTTGTGGAAGTTCTGTTAGCTTCCACTTCCTTGAGCTTTCATCTTGTGAGATTTCTTCATAGCTTTGTGGTTCTTCAACATTTGTTTGTGTAACAATAGGAATGGGTGCCCCGGAACCACTTTCCTCTTCACTTCTATCACTTCCCTGCACTGTGGCCTCTAGTAGATTTCCTACCACATTCAAAACCCCTGAATCCAATATCAAGTCTTCAACAGAACTATGAACTGCCAACAATAGTGCATCCTTTGATTTTAAGATACCACATTTTCGCTATCATTCTCCATCTTCTTACGATTCATGCAGTTCTTCTTTATGTGGCCAGCCTTGCCACAATTCCAACAAGTTGTCTGCTTGCTAAACTTTGATTTTGATCTTCCTATACTTGAGTTCCTGTCATTCCATCTTTCTCTGAAATCAACATTCTGTGTCAAACTTGAACCTGAGACCTCGCTAGAATCTTTCCTGCAATCTTCCTCAGCCAAAATCAAATCACGAATATCATTGTATTTCAGTTTAGATTTACCTGCAGAACTACTAACTAATATCCTTGTGTCATCTCAACTATCTGACAATGAAGCCAACAAGATTAGTGCACATATCTCATCATCAAAATAAATTTTCCCATACGACAATTGATTTGTGATAGTATTGAAAACATTCAGGTGTTGAGCAACATAAACACCTTACGTCATCTTCAAATTGAACAACTTCTTTATCAAGTGCACATTGTTATTCGTCGATGATTTTTCGCACATACCTGATAAGGTTGCCACGAGACATACAGTTGTCTTTTCCTTGACAACGATGTGTGCAACGGACCTCGATAGGGTCAATCGAATAACCCTCAGAACTTGTCGATCCAACAAATTTCATTCAGCCTCATCAATCCTTTCAGGTATTTTCCTCAATAATGTAAGATGAAAATTTTTCACATAAAGATAATTCTCTGTCTGCAACCTCCAATAACAAAAATATGTGTCATCAAATTTCTCGATCCCTGAAACCTTCACTCCATCTGCAACCATCATTCTTCCTCAGATCCGAACAAAGCTTTGACATCAATTGTTGTTGTTGGATCTAGATATATACCGGTTGATGTGGTATATATATAAATTAAACAGGAGAACGGTCGACTAAGTGAAAAATAGAACGAGAAAAATCACAACAGAAAAGAACAATACAGCGGAACACACAGATTTACATGGTTCGGCAAATTGCCTACGTCCATGGACTTGCAAAAGATTTTAATACTTAAAGAATTTACACCAGTTGATCACCTAGACTTACAAGAGGAATCTCTCAATTTTCGTTGCTCTCTCTTCTTCTCTCGTTGTTCTTCTCTTTCTATACCGAGATACACCAATGTACACCGAAGAAGAAAAACAAGAGAAATAAACTCAATTTCTCTTCTGCCACAAGTCACCAAGAAGAAGCCTAAGGAGAACAATCTTCTTCTTCTTCTTCCTTCTGCCGCAAGAAACTGCCATACGATGTTAGTATGGAATAAATTTTTCTCAGGATGGAGGTTTGAATCCCTCACTGACGACGTTACCTTAAGGAGGGTGGTACTTGTAGTTGTTGAGATCTAGATATACATCGGTTGATGTGGTATATATAGAGCGAAGAGATGTTTCACTTCACAAAAGAGGAACCGGGAGTGGTTATTTGTGAAGAGGTGTGACTCTCCAAAGTAAAGTAACCGCCCAAGCATAGTGGAACGGGCTTCATCGTTTCTAACAATACTTGAATGGATTTTACTACTTAAGGAATTTACACTAGTCGATTACATCGATTTACAAGAGGAATCTCTCACTCTTTGTTGCACTCTCTCTTCTTCTCTCTCTATTCTTCTCTGTTTGAGAATGGGTCCTCTCTCAACCCAACACACCTCGTACATTTCTCTCCATCAGAAATTGGAGGAGGATTCAGAACCGTCTATCCTCCCTGATTCCTCTCTCACAGTTGTTAAGCTTCGCCGCAGCGGTAACAGCGAGCGTTTTCTTCGCTCCATCGAGTAGGAGCTCGATGTCCTTCTCCGCCTCTCAAATCCCTATGCTGTTCGCCTCATAGGCTTCAGCGACAAAGATTTAACCAGCAAATCGTTGCCATCATCAAAACTTTATGACATTTACATACATACTGTTGATATGTAATCTCTTCATATATACCAGCAATTCTCTCTCATCTACATTTACATACATACTGTTGATATGTAATCTCTGTTATATTTTTATTTATGACTCACATTTATTTTAATAACTTATGAGATTTATTTTTGATAACTTAAGTTATTAATTTTCATAACTCATAACTTATGTCATAAATTATGACAACTTATGATATTTATTTTGATAACTTAAGTTATTTATTTTCTTAACTCATAACTTATGTCATAATTTATGATAACTTATGATATTTATTTTTGTAACTCTATAACCCCTAAAATAAATAAATGTTACTAACTTATGTCATTGATTTTATTAATAAAAATCAATTAATTTATTAAATTATCATAAATCCTATTGGTTAGTAACCCCCTTGATGGATGGTGGATAAATAGAGCATGAGTTTGAGAATGGGTCCTCTCTCAACCCAACACACCTCGTACATTTCTCTCCATCAGAAAGTACAGAAAGTTTTAAGGGATTAGAGAGAGAAACTTCATCTCTTCAAGATCAAATTTGTTCATCATGAATACAGGTATGCGTCGCTTTATTTTTACATAATAAAAATCATGAATTTAAAAGATCTTGGCTATTATGTACTTTTCTTTTGTAATTTGTGTATAAAGTTGAAACATGAATTTTCTAACAATCTCTTCATATATACCAGCAATTCTCTCTCATCTGTCATGAATTTCAGGACGTTTTTTTGAGTAATTAATATTCATAGCTTTATAAAAACTCCATTAAAACTCCAATTTCAGCAAACTTACTGTCAAATTGAGCGGCTCGATGAGAAAAACTCAATATTACCAAAATTTATCCAATTCAAGTCAAATCAAGCTCAAATCAAGTTATTAAACCACACTTGAAAGATTTTCAGACATATTTAAAAAGTTAACTGAATGTCGAATTTAGCAAACATATAGTTGAATCAATTGTTTCAACAAAACAACCCGAGATTGCCCAATTCTGATACTGATAAGACACTAAAATGTTCATCAAACTTTGTTTGATCGAAATAATCTCTCTAGACAGTATGATCAAAGTGGTTCATATTTCTGCATTAATTGCATCCATTACACTATAAATGTAGTCAAACCCCTCTCATGAGGAGGGAGCTTAAATCTTGAGAGATTATAGCTTTGAGAACCTGAAGTCCAACACCACCCATGTCATCATTGATTGTCGTCAACCGCCGTCGACCACCGCCAACCGTCGTCGACACCCGTCGATTATTGTCGATCACCGTTGACCACCATCAATCACCATCAATCCCCATAAACCACCAACGACCGGACGCCGTCGGTTGACGTTGTAACTTGGAAAACCTAATAACAAATTCTCGTCTATGAGACAAATAGTCTCTGTAATCATTAACCTTTAGTGTATTTTTAGAACTAGGCCAAACCCCGTGATTTTTTTCTTTTAAGGGGTTTTTTCGTATAAAATTTTTTGATGGCATTACTCTAACGTCGCGAATTTATTTTTACCTGAGTGTGTGTTGAATTCTCATGCAACATTAAAATTATAATCTATTATAATTTTCTAGCACGCATCACCATCCAATTCTTGTATATATACATATCCAACACCTAAATTTTGCTTTTTTAAGTTTATATTGATGACATCTAAAATACGATCGTTATAACTTTTAAAAAGAGAAATACACCTTTCATGCATATGTAAAAATTGATAAATATGCAAACTTTGAAGTTTAGTCCTTAGACATGTAAATGCATATGAATTTTAGGTATTTAGTTGTATGCATGCAAAACTTCCTTTTAACTGATTAATTTTTTAATTCATTGGATTTTAAGATAATATTAAATTAATTTATTTATTAATTTGAACAAATATTAATGAAGCTTAGTTTGACTTTGTTAATAGCTTCGTTGTTCATGCACAGGCCAACAATTCTTTTTACCGACTAACCTAAAGCCAAGCCTCCGGCGATGGACTACAAACCTTACGTTCCGGCAGTTCCGCCGGAATCCTGTGCACCTCCCACCTTCTCTTACCAGCCTCCGCCACCAGGGGTCGCCATTGATCCTGCACCGCCTCCTTCGATCGGTGAGGAGGCCCATGCCGCTGAGTTTATGGTCGCTGGCATGAGCGCTGAAGATGCTGCGTTGTGGAGACGCGGCCTTGTTTGGGTAATAAGCTGTTCCTCTTTGGTTAATTGAGTCCATGAAGAGAATTCGTGATGGGAGAGTCGGTTATTAGCTTATTTTATTCGGCCATTAGGCTTTCTGCTTGTTTCATTAGGGTTTGCGCTTGCTCTAGGGGTCTTTGATGTTGGAAGATATGTTTGTAAGTCGAGCAATTTTTTTCCGGGAGCGCTGTCTTCTGTTCGTTCTTTGGTATTATTACATTATCGTTGCTATTGATGATTTTGTTTCCACGAATTTGAACTCCCTTTGTTGTTCCCGGCCCTGGACGTTGTACCCATGCACTGTGATTATTTCAGTCTGGAAAAGAAGCAAAATATAAGAGTAATGTGAGCTTAGGAATAGCGTGTAACACACATACACACATAATATTCATTGTAGATATAAATAAATATGTACAAATCGTCAAATAATTTATTAGAACTCCTTAAATTTTTTTTTCATCTAGGAAGGTCAATGTCATCGCCACCATGCTCTCTCCAAGCACCCCTCTGTAATTAAGTTCTCTTCTAGTGGAGACTGCATTGACCATGGGTTTCCATTTTCTCATAATGATGTCAATTCATTAGGCTTATGTAGCTTACGAGTTTCCCCCTAAGCTATGAACTACCTAAATTTTCTTAGATGGTTTGTTACCTACTCGAAATGTCATCACGAGAAGAAATAGGGTGTCACCGTTGAAGAACGATCTATAGAGGCTTTGGAGCTCTTTGAACCAAGTAGAGTAGCCGGAGACCGTTAGCTAAGTCGCCGCCATAATAAAAAAATTTTAGATGGTTTGCAAGGATGAGAATTTAGCTTGATGATCATCAATTGTTCAAAATCGATTTGAGTTTTAGCTCAGATGGAGATCGACTCAAAGCAAGTGAGTCCAAAGCAAGGATTGAACTTTATTTCGAGCCACTTTCAAGCTATATGTGGATTGCTCTTTTTTTTATTTATACTTACTTTTGTTTAGTGAAATGCCAAACAAAAAATTTAGATTGCACAGTGTTAGGTCAGGTTGGCGTGTAATCAGTATGGCTTAGGATGGAGGATATTAGATATGTCAAAGTTTTTTTTTTTTTTTTTTGCTTTTTTTTTCCTTTTTTTTTAAAGTAAAGCCTTGATCTATAATCAATGGTGGAGATGCTCGCCAATTCAACAAATACTTCTAAAAGCCCCCGTTGCTTATTCAACTGTCTTGACTTTTTACCTACTCTAATGCTTGATGCTTCGTATCTTTCCTGTAGGCTTTCGGGCTTCGATATTATTGGTTGTAAGCCTGATTTTCTCCTAACACCAAATTTCCCTCTTTTTTTTTTCTTCACTATTTTTTGCATTAACTATAGACCTTGATTTTTTAGTACACATTATTTATGATTTTGTCGTTGATTTGGTCGAGACCCATGAAAATTTATTGGCTAAAGTTAAAGTTTGATATTGACAATTCAAACTAGTATTTGAAATGCTATTTCAGAAAATTTTTCTTATTTTTCTTAAAATGTAAAGTTGTAAAGTCCTTTAGTACTATCTGTAACTAAAAGCATAGTCTGTAATTTTTAATTTTTTGCATTGTATAATTAATTTAAACTGTAAAGCTGAAATTAAATTTTATTCAGTATTTTTGAGTTGGCTCAATTAAAATGAGCCAGTTTTTTTTTATTTTTGAGCTAGATTTGATAAAGCTGCTTCATTTAAGCCGAGCCAACTCATTTTGATTTCGAGCAAGATCGAGCTTGATTAAATATCAGAAGCCCATTTATGCACTTAGGGGATAACTATTAAAATAAAATCTATTGAAGTCGTGAGCTAAACTTAGGGGATTATTTTGAGTTGAGCATGAATTGGCTTCTCGTCTTCAAGCATTGCCACTCTCTCTTGTCGGTGATAGGAGTTTAGAAGGCGTCGGGGGTCTTCATGGGTTTTGGGGATTCCTAAGGTTCACGTAGGGCTCCAAATATGCAGTAAGAGGTAAAAAGTTCTTAATTGAGAAGGTTGATTTAATATCGTTGGCGCTATTTTGCATTGTTTGCAATTGAAGAACGAACTATGGAGGCTTTGGAGAGTCTCTTTGATCCAAGTAAACTTACCCTATGACCATTAGCTAAGGTTCTACCCTATTAGAATCGAGAGCTTCCCATCTTTGTTCTCCATACATTGCTACTTTTTCTTCTTGGTCAAAGCATGCTATGAGGCATCGGGGATCTTCACGAGTTATTGAGATTCTTAGGGGGTGTTTGGTTGCAAGTAAGATTTAGCATTAGTAGGATTTATTAAATTCATAAATTGTAAGCATGTTCAATCCGCTCTCCGCTGGATTTATTAAATCTCGATTTAAGCTGTATCAAAAAAAAAAAAAACATTTGGGACCTTAAATTCGAAAATTCATAAAACCATGGAACTCATGCATTGTTTTGCTTGCTAGATTTTATAAATTCAGTGATAAATCCTATTAAAAGGCCCTACCAAACACCCTGGTGAGCCCCCAATACATAGCATGAGTTGAATAGTTTTAAACTAAGAATATCAATCTATTATTGTTGGTGCTGCTGCAAGCCTTCTGCTCATGACCCATCTTGGGTGGTAGTTGAATATGAACCTTAACTTCATGGCTTCATATTGCATCTAAGTAAAGAGAATCTAATTTTAAAATTATTATAGTACTAAACCAAAATATTAGCATCATTTGGCCATATCATTATTTTTTGACATTGCATTTAGCTTTGCCATTCTATGTCATCAACAATTAATATATTGACAAATTTAATGCACAATTTAATTTAGCTTAAGAAGGGGCTAAATGAGTAATTTTGTAGGCAAAGTTCCCTTTTTAATCCCTTCTTAAGCCCTAACCAATGCATGAAGACGAACACTAGTCATTGAATTAGGATATAATGATCATGCTTTATCCCTTAAAAACCTAGAATTATTTTATGGTAAAACAGGACGGGTTAGATTATTTGCTTTAAAAAAAGCATATGAGATTCTGGCCATTGATCTTGGACGAACGATTTATTTTTCCTCCAATGATCGAATTTTGAGCTTTGAATTAAAGTTCAGTGGTCTTCAACCTTAGGTAAGGTTATGTTAACCCTCTTAGTTTAAAGCTTGTCCAACAACCTATTCTTATATCTATTAAAAGCTTAGAGAACTTCATGTACTTAGCACACAATTTTTAAGCTTTTACATATTTAACACCTTAAGTTTGATTTTTACATGTATAACACTTTGGTATCATAAACCTATGCATGAAATGTTTTATTCCATTTTAAAATTATTAATAATAGTAGTATTTTTATGCAATGTGTTTTTCGTTCTTTTTATTGAACTTTTGAAGTCGTCAGTTTGTCTTATTATCGTCGTATGATTCTCTTTCCAAATAAGTTTTTTTTTAATCATAAAGTTGATTCAAATAAGAGAGGGATCAAAAAGAAAGAAGGTACGATGAAAATAGACAAACAATTTAAAAAGAACGTGGAGAAATTTAATAAGGTGACCTTCGTGCAATAGCGCAAAAGGGTACTTTCGAAACAAGATTAGGTCTAAAATGTCTTGGAAGTATATCCATGAAGAAAATCCTATGGAAGCAACTCACAATCAGAAAATTAAGTTTTTGTGTTTGTTCTTGGTCAATAGCAGCTCCCAAAAGAAACATATTTCTTTGTTTAATTACATCTTGGGGGATGCCTAAGAATAATTTCGATAAAAAGGGTTTTGCTTACATTACTTATGATATCCGGTTATTTAGGAAACCAAATGATTTTTATCATCTCAAGCAGGAGAATTCTGATGCTTTCGATGTTCATATCGGGTCATAGGGCAGAGGGTGAATCACCGTATCCACTACAATAGGCGGCGTCTAGGCATGCAGGGCCCACGAGACGATACTAATGATTTTTCAAAGGAATCGACAGGGCTCAAAAGAGATGTCAACGGAAAGGGGAGTGATCTCTAATCAAGTAGAGGTAGTTAGGTTAGGATACTATAGATTCGTCATCCCAAACTTTGAAGACCCTAAGTCTACCTAATCGTGAAGGTAATCAACCCAACCTAACTAGGGACCTCTTGTCATTAATCCATGAATTGCATCGTCCAATGGAGTCCTGGTAACTCTAAGGCCAGAGAAAAGAGACTTCTAATTCCTATGACTCTGGAAGAGCTATAATAGGTAAATGTGAGACTTATACTCGTCAATTAATTGATGAAGTTGTTGTTGGAGTGAAAAGAAAAGGGGGTACGGTTACAGAGCTACAACCGTCCCACAAATGTCTTATTCTCTGTCTGGGTCGTGAATGCCTTTAACACCCTATTCATGCTAGACAACCTCCTAGGTAAAAATTTATGCTTGGCTTGTCGATTGAAGGTGCACAGAGTTTTCTTCTCGAGACATGCAGAATGATGCAGTTATTTGCAGTTAAATTTAAATGTGGATGCTCTATTAAGGATGATTTAAGTGATTGTCATAGCTTGGGCGCATATGTGCAAATATTTTGGATTGTCGTTGGCTCCCATGGGGGTGGTGCTTAGGCGCCACACCTTAAAAAAAATTCAATTTTTTTTCAATTTTTTTGGTCTTACCTTAAAAGCCACCCCTTAAAAAAATTCAATTTTTTTTCAATTTTTTTGGTCTTTTTTCCCCTTCTTTGCCGAAGCTTTACACGGAGGATTTTTGCGGATCTCTGGACCTCCAGAAGATATCTGGGAACAAAAATAAAGTCTCATAAATTGGGGTGGACATTGGGGGGGGTGCAACATTGGACGAAAATTGCCGCCCAGGGCCAAGTATGGGGGTGCAGCATTGGACGAAAATTGCCGCCCAGGGCCAAGTATGGCTTGAACGGCCGAAACTCAGTTTTACACCCGGATGTCCGTAGAAAGGTTTTTGCTAATCCGGAAGCTGCGGGAATTCATGTATAGTTAAAATACTACCTCGTAACTCACAAATGAAGATTCCAGAGTTTTTGATTTGGGAATTTGAGTGCCGACAGACGCCCTAGAACCCCGCACAGGTGGGTTTTTCTAAACAATTTTCTCAAATTACGTGTTGGAGAGTTTAATGACTGTCCTCGACTGTGAGAGGCTCCAAATAGATGGAGTATGGTCTCTAAGCACCAGAATGTACATTAAATGTGTCTTATGTTGAATTAACATCACCTCATGGGGATCTCTCGGGTATGGCTAAATCAGTACTGATCCTGATTACGTGCTCGAGACACGTACGAGGAAGTCCTATTGGATGTCTTGGACTACGGGAGACTGAACACAATCCTGTATCATTCAAGTGAACGTCCTCGCATGTGACATCAAAAATTGTTGTCAATACAATGTTAAAGATTTTTTAGTGTTATGCATATAAATAAGAAAGTTTAGGTGTTAAATATGTAAGTGCATAAAAGTGTGTGGCATGCATGCAAATGCCACAAAAATTTAATGAAACGTCCATCTTGTTTGATGTTTGTAATCATTGCTTGAGCATTCTTTATCATTCAATTCACCATCAAATTTAGAAATGGTTATTACATACCACAAGTATTTTAATTTTAAAATAAAAAATAATATTCTATAAATTGTTAAATTGTAGAAAGTCCTATTTTTATGAGGAATTTGATGTTGTCAAGTTTAAATAATTTGGATTTAAATTTTCATACTTTTATTTTAATTTTGTCATTTGTGCATAAAAATTAAATTTATTTTTTTTTGGTTTGATCTAAATTAATCTTAGAAATTTAAAAAAATGTATTATTTATCTCATAATGTTCTTGGTTATCTCAAAACTCTTTGAACCTTGGTGCTCAATTTTGGTTAGTTAGATGTAACCCCTGTTGTTATTTGACTAGCAAAATAAGCCAGATTTTGATAAATTCCATAATAATTAAATATTTATATAAATGTTTAATATTGATGGAGTGCCTTTCATGGTTAGGGAGCAAATATGGAAACTCAGTAGTACGTCAAAATATTAGGGTCCTCTTGGAACTTACTGTGTGTGTGTGTATATATATATATATATATATGTTTAAAAGAATAGGTCGGGGCGTGATGTCCCCAACCCACCCTATTTGGCTCAACCCCCGTCTGGTCTGGGGTTGACCCATGCACCTAAATATTCGAGTACCCCCTTCTTAAGGCAACAATCGCCAGAGGCAGGATTTGAACCCCAGACCATAAGGGGTTTACACCGCCGAAGCGGATGCTCTACCAGCTAATCTGGGAAAGAGGCGCACAAAAAAAAAAATATATATATATATATATATATATATAGAGGTAGGAAAAACTATCAGATTTAAATGTTACGATCTTTTGCATAAGTATCAAGAATGTGGGCTACTTAAATCCCATCAATGTGCACCTTCAAAATTGCTTGATTACTTAACTTATTTTTGAAGTGAATGTTAAAAATTGGGTTGTAGGAGGAGAGATTCCTAGCTGTAATTCCTAGATGAAGCTTTTAAAAGTAGATCTAGTGTATTGATTTATATAGTCTGTCATAGAACTTGGTAACCCAATTTTGTGCTTTGCCTAGATATTTGACCATACCTTTGTACAAGTCCTTAAAGGCAATTGCAAAGTCCCATTAAACAGAATCTGTGCCTTTTTGCCTTGGAGTTGTAAATTTCACAAATATTGTTCAACTGATATGAAACTAGCTTGTCTATCATGCCAGTTTCAGTCTTTCTATGGATGAAAGATCCAATCTTAGACTAAGGTTCTAGTATTGATGATACAAGGCCAACAAATACAATCACCGTGCTATTCTACCATTCCTGACAAATTTTGTGCTAACTCCCATTCTATGAAGCCAATTCATCCTTGAAACTTGCTCACTTGCTATTAAGTCTAATAAAATCTTTATCCAACTTCCATGCTATTAGGTTAATAAATGCCAAGCCAGCTTCCATGCTACAAAGTATTAACAACATCGGACAGGTTCCCTTGCTACCAAGCCTAATCAACTACGAGCCAGCTCCCATGCTACAAAGTCCAATCAATGTGCTGGCTCCAATTCGACGGCCCAATAAACAAATGGATTGACTTCAATATTATCTTGTCCACAAATTACAAGCCGACTTTTATACTATCAAGCCTAGGCAAATCCAATAGAGTTTCCATTCTTTTAAATCCTAACCAAACCCAAATCAAACCTTCATACTGACAAGCCGTCAAATCAAATTGGGTGGATGGACAGAAATTATGCTCACAATGATCTATTATTGTTCCGTCAACCCATAAATCAACTTATTTGGGTGATTACAAAGCTCCTTAAGCAGGCTAGTTGATTTTCTATCATGTTTTACTTTGAAGTACGTATGGGTGGTACTTACTACTCTTGTTTCACTATATACTAATTTGCTTTCAGTTGATCTAGCCTCTTCTGCTTTTTTTGCTATATTATATATTTGCCCTTGATTTTTATGATTATGCACAGCATAATTTGTTTGAATAAATGTCACGTAGTTTAGTTAAAAAGGTGATTGGGATATGGTTTCCATGTTGATGCTACTGTGGTTATTGCGGATCTATTTCTCAGGTACTAATCCTTTTTTGAAACCATTTTCATGATTGTTATTTGCTTAGATTGATTATCCTTATGGTCATATGTTGTAAACATGTTCCCTCAATTAAGCATCCCTGCAATATTCTTTTTTGCTTTCCACAGAAGTATCTATGTCAAAGTTCCATAAACTCTAGTGCTTTTGAGAAAAAAAAAAAATAGGAAAGTGTCAAAATGGTCCCCTAATTCTCTATAGGTTCAATTTAGTCCCAGTCTATAAAAGTGTCAATTTAGTCTCAGACTCTTTTAACGAGGGCTAAAATAGTCTTCTCTAGAGACTATGTCAACCCATATTTAATAAGTTTGGGGATTATGTTGACACTTTTAGATTAAAATGATCCCATGTAAATAGTCCGGAATATTTTGGCACATGACCTTGATTTGCTGTTTTTATGACGGTTGGAACGCTGCCTCCCCGTGTTAAAAAATTCTACCCTCTTGCCTTTCAAGGTTTCTACTGTTTATAACTTTTTATCCATGTTCATCATACTACTGAATGGTGTGATTACTTTTCAGGTAGATTCCGAGTCCATTTGATATTTTTGGATATGGTGGATGAATTAACTAACTTTTTCCCTTCTGTCGGGCCTTGTTTGTCCATTTTAGGTAGCTGTTCAGAAGTTCCCATTTTTATTTTATGCAAGTGCTGCTGAGGGCTTGTGTATTCCTTTTCCAAGGACATGGCAATGAAAGTTTCAATACTTTTTTCACGTAATATTTTCATTAAAGCGATTTAAATTTTTTATAAACCATAAAGGCGTTGGCCTTTGAAAAATTAAATGCACCTCTGTATTCCCGCAGATAAATAGCTTAAACTTTGAGACCATCGATCATCTATTTACTAACCCGAAATTTTTATTTTTACAAAACTTCTATTAGGCTTCAGTAAAACAAGACTGATCTTTTCTATCAATAGTTGCGGTTTAAATTTGAGGCATTTACTTACACATCACCCAATTCCTATGTTTTTACATATCTAACATCTAAACTTTACATTCTTTACATTTTTACATTTTTTACATTTATACCACCCAAATCTATCATATCACATAAAAAATGCCACCGTTTTAAATTTTTAAAAGTGAAATAAACTTTTTACAGACGTAGGAATTCAGTGGTATGTATGTAAATTTTCCATTAAATTTTCATTTTGAGAAGATATTTGTTAACCCGTGCAAATTATTATTTCTTCCGTTCAGCAACATTTTATTTGTTACGTTTGTACTAGCACCTTGTTCTTTTGATCATGTTAAGTCGTCGTGCAGGATAGGGGTATGTCTCCGTTTAGGGGTTGGTATGGGATGAGATGGGGAGTTGGTTATCCGGGCAATTTTTCTCAGCAGCCATATTTGGTGGACACCGGAGCGGTCCATGGCCATGGCAGTGATATTCAACATGGAAAATCAACAATAGTTGAGCCTTACAAACCTGAATTACTTCCTCAAATCAACCCCTTGAAAACCACCGGAGAAGAGGCGGCATTAGAGCTCCCTGCATCGGAACCATGTTTGCCGGCCCAGTCTTCGCTCCTCCCACTCACATGGTGTGATATCTGCCGTGTGGACTGTAACAGCCTGAAAGTCCTCGAGAAACACAAGACCGGTAAGCGCCATAAGAGGACCCTCCTGTTACTGGAAAACCTAAACGGGCTGCCGGAAATGGTCCAAGAGCTTGCAGCCTATAATCACACGAAACCTGAGCACCACAGCGAATCCGTTTCAGCACGGATCGAGGGCACGAAGGTTGAAACGCCTACAGATACAACTTCTAATATAAAGAAAAAACGGAAGCGGAATGCCGCGCCGGAGCAGCCTCGGGTCTGTGTTCTATGCAATGCCACGTGCAACAGCGAGGCCATGTTCGAGTCTCATCTTGCCGGAAAGAAGCATTTATCGCGGATAAACCATTTCCAGAGACCCGATACTATTTTCGGACTAATGACCGATTACATGCCTCCCGACCAGTCGTCAACTTCGGCGTCTCAAGATACGCAGACTCTTTATTATGGCCTTATGAACTGCGGACAACCTCAAGCTTATGCTGTTTTAAATCCCCATTTGGATTCTGAAAGTCAATATGGCTTCATCCAGTCTTGAAGTCCGGCTGCAGTTGACTCGGTGAGTCTTACTGAGTCTGCGAGTTTTCTATGATAATGTATAGGATTTAGCAAACTTAAGGTTCTGAGAAAGAGCTGATTGTTTTTTGTGTGTCAATGTTGGTTTTTTTATGTAGGACATGATTAATGCGAGCCTTTAGATTCTGTACTAAATTTTTGGTGAAAGAAAAAGTTTGAGTTGATTGACTGCCATGAGTGGAGTTTTTACTCTCTTATGTATAACTGGTTAAACAATTGGCTAATTTACATAAATAGCACACAATTCTTATGCATTTACAGATCCTACGCCTATACTTTCATATTTACACACAACACTCAAATCTTTAATATCACATAAAAGATAGCACTATTATCATTTTTAAAAGTGAAATACATCTTTTTCATGCATAGATTTAAAGCACTAAAGTGCTACATATGTAAATATGGAAATTTTGTTCTGGGATATGTAAATAAACATAAGAAATGTGAGCCGCGTATGTAAATTTCCCTGAATTTTTTCTTGCTTCATTGCATGAAATGGATCCCCCATCAGGAAAAAGGGGGTTTCTTGAGGATAAAAGTCAACGAAGGCTTGGCTGAGTCAGGTACCTTGTCTGCACTTTTGCACTGTTTCGATGAAGTAAATCATTTGGATTTCCGAAAATTTTGCTCCTTTTTTATATTTATAGTTTGTCAACTTTTAGCAATGAGGGAGTAAAATGCTTTTTTGTTTGTATTTATATTCTTACTTCAGCCCTGAAAAACTTTTTATTAATTGTTGCAACACCCAGAAGAAGTAACCTGTAATTAATGTATTGTTCACCTCCACATTGCTATACTGTATGCAAATTGTTGTTTAAGAGGAGTTCAACCTTCAAATAAACTAATTTTGGGAACTTTTTGATGTGCTTTTCAATATTTTAGGTTTCTCCACATTCTCAGAAGGGTAAAATTTGTTGCCCTAAACCCAGTAATCATAATCTATGTGTGGATTATTAATTAGGCTATTTACATAAGTAACATCAAAACTTATATTCTTACATTTATAATGTTTTTTTGCGATAAACATATGCATAAAAAGGCTATTTCACTTTAAATTTGTTAGATATGGCTCATATATCAAAATAGACAGTGCTAAATCAGGTACGGAGCAGAGCAGAATATTCTGTCAAAATCATGGGAGTTTCCTTATGTGGATTGGGATTGTGTTACAGGGGTAATTTGGTAGTTACATATTGTACCCAAAGTTTCTTTTTATGTTCTTTTTAGGGTTATAAATATGTCTGTATGTAATCTTAGGTATTACACCTCATATTATGTATTCTGTACTTTTCTCTCTTTTCTGAATATTGAAAAGGAGGTCGTCGCTCTGCTCCCGAGGATGTAGGCATATTTGCCGAATCTCATTAAATCTTTGTGTTCTTCTGGATTTATGTCGTTCTTGTTTTTCTTCGCCCTAATTTCTCAACAAGTGGTATCAGAGTCAGGTTCTAGGCAATCGAAGAAAAAAGTTGGCGTTCGGAAGAGAAAATTTCGGCTTCGGTGAATTCGTCGAGGCAAGGAGTTCGCAGCTTGGGTTCGACGTTCGATTCGGCGCAGAGGAGTTCTGCGAAGGAGGGTTCGCGGCATAGGTCGGATCGGCTTCTCGGACCAGGCGGCGGATCGAGATCGGGGCAGAAGTTCTTCGCATGAGATCAATTGAAGATCGACTGCACTAGAGGAATATTCTCTCATATTTCTTTCCAGAAATTCCATCATGCAGTGCACAGAGAAGGAAAGGGAATCCGAGGACACTAGGGGAATATCCTACTGGATTTGCAGGCGGAAAGGAATTCTTTCCTAAGGTCGAGGAGAAGTTTTCTGTGGAGGTGAAATTTGAAAAGGAGATAATATTTAATTAAGGAAACTTAATTAAGATTTTCTTTGCTGAAGGCTGAGGAGAAGAAAATTTAGAAGGAATATTTTTCAGATTTTCTTGGAGGACGCGGATATTCCAGGACAAGAATCTTGAAGGAATTTTTCAGAAAAAGGTTCGCGGCAGGAGTAATTTTAAATAGCATTTTCTGGTGCAAAATTCTAGGTGGTGAAGTTTGATGGAACTTGTAACTTCGGATAATGACAAACAAGAGTGAAAGATCTGTTTGCTCAACAGGAAGTTTTAGAAGCTTTGCGGACAATGAAACCAGATGCCATGAAAGATGAAGATTGAGAAGAATTGCAACAACGAGCAGCAGCAACCATACGTTTATGTCTGACATATGAGATTATGTATCACGTGATGAATCTAAAATCTCCAGGAGAGGTATGGAAGAAATTGAAAACTCAGTTTATGGCTAAATTTCTGACGAACAAGTTGTATATGAAGCAAAAACTGTATAGGTTGAAGATGCAAGAATGTTCTGATCTAACGCAGCACGTGAATGACTTCAATCAAATAATCATCGATTTATCACGACTTGCTGTGAGTATTGAGGATGAAGATCGAGCAATGATTTTTTTTGTGTTCGTTGCTCTCTTCTTATGAACACCTGGTAACTACTCTGACATATGTGAAAGAAACCATCAAAGTTGATGAGATTTCTGCAGCATTGTTGGCTCACAACCAGCGGAAGCAGAATACAGGGGAAAGCTCTCACGACGATAGTTTATATGTTAAAGGTAAGCAGGATCGTGGAAGAAAGAAAGAGAATGAGGGTTCTGGAAGGCGAAATTTCAGATCAAAGTCTATAGGCAAAAAGTCAATTCCTTGCTACAGGTGCAAGGAGTCAGGTTATATGAAGAGAGGTTGTCCAAAGCTGAAGAAGCAGATTGAGGAAAAAGGTGATACATCATCGAAGTCTGTAAATGTGGTGCAGAGCGACAATTTAGATTACAGTGATTGTGATATGCTTTCAGTTTCATCAACTCAGTTCACAGATGCATGAATTCTTGATTCATGGTGTTTTTATCACATAACATCTAACATGGAGTGGTTTATTTCTTACAGGTTAACTAATTCCGATTCAGTCTATTTGGGAGATGATAGATGTTGCAATTTACAGGTTAACTAATTCTGATTCAGTCTATTTGGGAGATGATAGATGTTGCAATATTGTTGGTATTGTAGAAGTCAGAATTAAGATGTATGATGACACAATTAGAACGTTATGTGATGTCAGACATATTTCAGATCCGAAGAAGAACTTGATTTCCTTGGGCACTCTACGCATAAATGGTTTTATTCCTAAGGCTGATAAGGATAGAGAAACCATCAGAATTGTTAAGGGTGCGTTGACGGTGATGAAAGGAAAGCTAACTACACGCAATATCTCCTATCTACAAACTGTTGGGGAGTACAGTTGTAGGTGTAGTTCATTCTGTGGAGTCAGATGATGATAATACAAAGCTATGACATATGCGTCTGGGTCATCTTAGTTAACGTGGTATGACAGAATTGCATAGAAGAAACTTGTTGCATGGTATTAAAAGTTGCAAGCTCGATCTTTGTAAGTTATATGTTCTTGGAAAACAGACTAGAGTCATTTTTATGATTGGAAAACATAAAACTGAAGGGATTTTTGATTATGTGCATTCTGATGTATGGGGCCCTACTAGGGAGTCGTCATTAGGAGGATCTCAGTATTTTGTTACATTTATTGATGATTTCTTCAAGAAAGTTTGAGTGTATTTCTTGAAACAGAAATTTGAAGTCTTATATAAATTCAAGTTGTGGAAAGCTGAGGTGGAGAACCAATCTGACAGAAAGATCAAATATTTTAGGTCTGATAATGACACAGAGTACACAGATTCGCAGTTTCAGAAGTTCTGTGAGTAGCATGAGATTCAGAGGCATTTTTCAGTACGCAAGACACCACAACAGAACAACAGAATGGTGTGGTAGAATGGCAGAAGGTCTACAAATTGGCATGTGTTTACTCTTGGTGGAGGGCCTATATGTTGGAAATCAATAATTCGGTCTATTGTGGCTTTATCTACAACTGAAGCTGAGTACATGTCAGTAGCTGAAGCTGCAAAAGAAGCCTTATGACTTGCTAAGCTAGTAAAGGAACTGGGCGCTGGGCGTTGAGCAAGGTGGAGTTCAGTTGCATTGTGACAGTTAGAGTGCTATTTATCTGGCTAAGAACCAGGTGTACCATGCGAGAACCAAGCACATTGATGTCAGATATCACAAGATCAGATAATTGATTGTCTTTGGGGAGATACTGTTGCAAAAGCTTCATACTGATGAAAATGCAGCTGATATGTTGACCAAGTCAATTACTATCAACAAGTTCTTGCATTACTTGGACTTGTTGAATGTCTGCAGTTGCCTGCAGTTGCTAAAGAAGCATGAAAGAAGCATGACGACCCAACCCATTTCTGATATGTAAGGAACTCTATGACGTATTTCTCCTAAGGGGCTGGATATTCGCCAAGGTGGAGATTTGTTAGATATGACTCATATACCATAAATGGACAATGCTAAATCAGGAGCGAAGCAGAGTGGAAAATTCTGTCCAAATCAGGGGAGTTTCCTTATGTGGGTTAGGATTGTGATACATGGGTAATTTGGTAGTTACATATTGTACCTAATGTTTCTTTTTATGTTCTTTCTAGGGTTATAAATACGTATGTATGTAATCATATGTATTACACCTCATGTTATGTATTCTGTACTTTTCTAGATTAGTGAAAAGGTTGCCGCTCTGCTCCCGAGAACGCCGAGAACGTAGGCATCTTTAGGCATCTTTGTCGAACCTCGTTAAATCTTTGTGTTCTTCTGAATTTGTGTCGTTCTTATTTTTCTTCGCCCTAATTTCTCAAAAAAAAGTATGCAATAGTGGTATTTCTCCAGTGATGTTAAAGATTTAGATGTTGTTTGGTGTAATTTACATACAGGGCACCCCAAACTTTACTATTTACAAATCATATATTTCACTCATTTATCTAAGTGTGACTCAAACATCAAAATTCATGATAAAACTTCGGTCACCTTTATTTGATCATGACGCACATAAATTATTTTTTATAAAAGCTGTTTTGCGTAAAACAGACAAAAAGTTAAAAACATTATTTTAATAATTATAAATTAAATATTAATTGCTCCGGGACAAAGAAGAGTTCCAATACATGAAAATTAGATATAAGAGGGAGAGTTTAGAGTTTGACAAACTAGGAGGAGGATTTTATTCTGTTTATATTATAACGCCTGTAATATTTTAGTTTTGCGGTATTAATAAAAACAAAAATAGGGTATTTATATACATACCACACAATTCCTATATATTTACATATCTACCATTTAAAAATTAATAAATATTAAATAATATTAATAAGCTTAAAAATTGATCGAGAGAAATAATTCTGGAACTAGCTGCCGACAACAGCAGCATAAATCACATGACTATCATTGCTACCTTGCTGTCTTCTTGTGCGCATATCCAGCTTATGGCAGCATAATATCTACCCTCACCATGCACCATTCAGGAATTATCTAATCATTTTTATTATTTTTTTTATTTTTTTTTTATTTTTAACTCTTTTGCTGAGCTTCATATGTACCATCATTCTAAATAAACATGAATTTTGAGATTATTTACTCCAAAGTATTATTATGAATTATCATCACATATATTCATTTTATTTTTTATTTTTTACCGTTCAAGAAAAAAAATAATCATACAACCTCTGCATCTTACAAATTTATATTTGATAAATCTTGAGAAGATTAAATTTTAAAAATAATTTGATATATCATATAATGGCTAAATGTTATTAAAATCTTAAATATGTTAACTTATACTATACATTGAAAATACGTTAGTGTTGATCTTGTGGATCCAACGGTCTATAAGAGAGTACCACAAAGGTGGACTTATCGACAGAATACCAAGAGGCTCACTTTTCATATCGAATGCAGCTTTTTTGAGCCAAAATAAGTATGGCCAAAGCTGACCGAGTAATGAAGATGACCAAATTATTTGAATCTGAGCCATTCGATAAAAAATGAGATAAAGAGGTATTGAAGCGAACCAACATTAAAAAGTTGACCCAAGCCCCCAACATCTCCTATCATATCGGAGAGGTTCAGAAGTTTCCCCATTTATTATCATGGGTCGACAGCTGAGCTAACTCAATTGACTGAACCAGTCATGCTGACTCAAAACCTACCAAACTCATTCAACCGGCGACACCGATGAAGCTTTTATTCGATTAAACCAATTTGTCGATTTGAAGCCAAATGAGCCCGTTCAATCGAGCCAGAGAGCAACTTTGTGATAGCCTCATGTCTGTAAATATTAGGAATCTTGTACAACCCTCATTAAAGTTAGGACAAAAATGTAACATCATCATATTATACTCTCTCTCCCCTTCTATAAATAAGGAGATCATTTCATGAACTAGTGATACACAATTTTAGCCAAAAAGGTTGGAAAATATCAACTCGATTAATACAATTTATTATTCATTAATATTAACTCTCATTTCTCTCCCTCTTTGTTTCTCTCTCATTTCTTGTGCTCTATTATTTGGGGTGACATTGACGGATAAATCAAAATTTAACATAATTTACAAATATTGAAATTTAACAAATTCTAAAAATAATTAACATTAAAACTTATCACAATGGGAATTTTTCGACAATTGAAAAATATATTTAATATAATTTAGGCTAAACATTATTTAAATCCTGCTTAAGATAGGCCCTACACACTTACAAGGAAACCATGGACAAAGCATGTAGGGTATCGGCATCGGTCTGGGTGATCATAGACCGTCCGTTATCAATCATGCGGTTGTAGAACAACCGCACGGTCCTCGCCATCCTCCGGCTGTTGGGCGGCGGAGTTCGCCGGAAAAGTATTCTGTTGAGCTGGAACACTAACAGGCGAAGGGAATAGACAATACCAGGCAGAGAGGGGGGTATTCTGACGGCTAAAGGAAGCCTCAATATGAATGGAAGGAGGAGGGCCGGCAATATGTGGCCGTTTGTGTGGCCTCCTGCAGCTAGGACCTTCAGCTTCGTCACCAATAATACTACTACATGTCCTCCCATGGCTTCAAGTAGTCCTGCTGTTAGCTGAGTTTGGGACTTTATATAACTCTACTCTCTCTCTCTCTCTCTACTCTCTCTCTCTTTCTCTCTCTCTCTACTCTCTCACTGTATTGTATATTTTTTCCATTTATGGGGGCATAAGTAATGTAGCATAATAGAAGAATTCCGTGCAAGAAAAGTAATTGTTTAGTTATAGAATTCACTAATAGACTTTAATATTATAAGTTTTTTTTTTAAATAATATATATATATATATGTATATATGTATGTATATATATATATGTATGTATGTATATATATATGTATGTATGTATCTTTGTATTGTGTATTGATGTGTGTACGTGTGCATGAATATATAGATTACATGTTTCTTTAGTTATGCATGTATATTTGTATAGGTAAATAAACATGTGGTATGTTATGTATATTGCATAATTTATCTATAATTTTTCAACTAAGCTTAATATTAGTGACCAAATTTTGTTTATTTTACAAGTAAATGAGCCAAATACAAGTACACAAAATTTGCCTCATTATTTATTTGGTATATATGTTACACCAAAAATACCAGCACTAATCTAAAAAAAGAATGAAGAACCGAGATGAAAGAACATTCTTTCGAGGTAAACAATCAGCTGAGGGTTCAAGGCCGATCATGAAACCGCATCTCCAAACCCGATATAGTTTCAAGTTTTGGATATTGTTCCCGCTCGGTAGCAACAACACCCGTCGAAAATGAGGCGTAAATCATCTTGGTAGCGAGTCTTGTCGAATATCACGCATAGGTTGCTACAAGTTCCACTTAAGATCTTGCAAGACTGGGAGATTCCATCGAGGTGACGAACCAATCAAACAGGCGAGACATGAGCTGTGTGAAACTTGAGCCGAAGAAAAATGAGCCACAACTCACTCAACGGAAAAAAACTCGACTGACCAGCACCACGTTCAGACTGAAGGACCACCTTACAACCGATCACTCTCGTCGACTGTGCCAAAAGATACTGAGCAAAGTTTTCATGTTGTCGACCACCTCAACCGACCAAGCATACTTCATAGGGCACAGATGACACCCGGTCGGTTGTCTTAATTGGCCGACTTCAAGTCAGCCAACAAACCAATTACCGTCAATGTTGAAATTCAAATTGTAATGCAACTATAACATTAAATCTATACAATCAACTTGAGTCTTAAGAGCATTAAGAACGGTTTTCATAACCGTTTCTTTTTTTTTGTAATTATACAAAATACGTCTCTATTAATACGGGAGAAAAATACAAATAAAGAGACCCTCTCACTTGATTCTCCCTTCAAGAAATTTAAGACTTATTATTCTACTACATGTTCCTTCTCCTCTTCACTCGGACTCTCCGGACGTGATTCACAGAGTAAAAATTAGGATCCAACAAAATATATAATTTTATAAGAATTTATAATTTATTTTCAATTATTGGTGAGGAGAAAGAGAAGCTTCAAGGAAGCATCCTATGCCTTGGATTCCAATGTAAACCACGTTGACAGCCCATGGGCCATGGCCCCCATGCCTTTTGTCTCATGCTTGCTCCGTACGCCGTATGGAATGCGGCCTAAAAGAGACAGAATCTGCTTCGAATGCCAAAATTAAATTATAAAAGAAAAAATGTAAAATTAATAATTGCTTTCATCATATTAATACGAATTATCAGCATATTACCAGAAAAAATTAAAATCATGTAAATAAAATTCTCATCATGTTAATTATCTCTCGCATAATCTCTCAATACAGCAATATTAAAAAGTCAGTTGATGGCAGTTGAGAATTCGTTCAACTTCAATCAAATCTGCTAAAGATTATAATGTTTAGAATCCAATGCATTAAGACATATATTTCACTTTCAGATATGCCAATTATCATATATATATATATATATATATGAAAATCATCAACTGCAGCGAATAATGTTACAAGTGAACTTTATAAACTGCAAAAATATTATACAATGTTGCAATTTGTACAGCAGAATACGTTCCTTCAGCTTACAAAAGCTATAATATAAGAAATATGATATTAAGCAGCAGGAACAGGTGCTGGCTTAGATGGAGGAACTCTGTTCTCTGATGGGATCTCAGCAAATTCGGAAAGGATTGCTCGAAATTCATCGCCCGCCAACGTCTCCTTCTCGACGAGCACGTCGACGATCTTATCGATGGCTTCACGGTTGTTTCTGATGTGGCTTAGAGCAATGTGATAGGCATTGTCAGTAATCCTCTTAACGGCGGCATCAATGTCCTCAGCGAGTTTCTCGGACATGGAGTTCCTAGCCATCATTCTCATTATCACATCCGCGCTCTGAGCCGAAGAGTCCATTAGGGACCACGGGCCAATCTCCGACATTCCGAATGCGACCACCATCTGCAAATGGTGGAAGAAGATCATCTTCCATTGAATCCTCCTATGTATTTACATGTCCAACACCTAAACTTTTATACCGCCCAAATCTTTCTTGTCACATCAAAATATTAACATTTTAACTTAAAAAGTGAAATACACATTTCCATGAATAGATAAGGTGGAATGTATGTAAAAATTGAAATTTAGGTGTTAGACATGTAAATACATAAGAATTAAGTAATATGTATGAAAACCTTCCTTCTATTATTAGTTAGGGTAGAAAAATAAGCTTAATGATCTGATGACTGCTTGGTGTTAATTCAAAATAATTCATCAGGATGAAATATTAAAAAAAGACTGAATTAATTATAATAAAGCTCCTACCTGCTTGGCCAAGCTAGTTATCTGCTGTAGATCGCCGGCAGCACCAGTGGTCACCTCAGGCTCTCCAAAAATGACCTCCTCAGCCGCTCTACCTCCGAGGCCGCCAACAATCCTCGCAAAGAGTTGTTGCTTTGAGATTAGTGTTGGATCATCAGCAGGGATAAACCAAGTGAGCCCTCGAGCTTGGCCGCGAGGAATCAGGGTCACTTTCTGGACTGGATCATGCCCTGGAGTTAAAGTCCTGGATGATATGAAAGAGTATGAGAGATCAGGATTTGGGCCAGCACTGAAAAATGGAAGGGCATTTACATACAAAGCGCACAATTCTTATGTATTTACACATTTCACACCCAGACTTTCATATTTACACGCATAGCACTAAAATCTTTAATATCATGTCAAAAATAGCACTATCACCACTTTTTAAAAGTGAAATACAAATTTTATTGCAGAGGTTTAAAGCAACAAAGTGCTATGCACGAAAATAGGGAAGTTTTGGTGTGGGATATGTAAATATATAAAAACTGTGTGCTTCACATTTAAATTTCCCAAATTAGAAGTCAAAGTATACCACTGAAAACATAGAAGAGACTTAGAAATTCATTGGATTATTTCTTGACTGATTGATTTAGAAAATACAAAGAAAAAGAGTGTCAGACATATTTCCAAATTAGGTATAAATATGATGCGTGTGGATGATGTAGCTTTGATAGGTGTGAAAAATCTAAGTTGAAAAATAAAAAACAAAAAAATGAGTTTTTTTTCCCCTAAATGAGGAAGCAAAGGCTGCAAGCATTGAATGAAAGCTGGCTGTTGATCTGATTTGGTTTTAGTGTCAACAACAATTGAATTTAAGATGATTATGTTTAATTCTTCCTCTTTGAAATATGAACAACATCTACATAACCAAACAAGCTTAAACAAAGATTTAAAACTTGTCATATAAATTGAACAAGCATCAACACTAACAACATCTACAATAATTCACATACTTCATCTAAATAACCAAACTAGCTTGAACAAAGATTTAAAACTTGTCATATAAATTGAACAAGCATCAACACTAAGTCGCTTGTTTAACATGCGCATTTGTCATTTGACAAATAGCTCACTGAGAATTCAATAAAATGCCAATTAATGATGGCTTAGTCGTTATTTGATAACTTATATTATGTTTTTAAAGCAATTTTCCCATATAATAATTTAAAAAGTATGCATATTGTTAGAGGTATTAGTATGCTGAAAATATCAAATAAATAGTTAGATATATAGATTTAAATCATTTCTAATTAATATTTAAACTTAACAAACAACTTAAATAATACCTAATAAAATATACCAATTTTGATTAAAATCTAGGGAAATTTACAGGTGTACACACAATTCTTATGTATTTACATCTCACACCTAAACTTGGATATTCACATACAGAAGATATATAATCCTATAGCGTCATAATTTGATACTTAAAACCTACAATCCTCTAAAATCAAGGAGTCAACTCAAGAAATAGGTAAAAATCAAATAGTGTCAAGTTAGAATACTACACTTGAGATTTTAATAAATTCTAAAGCTCTTCAAACTACAGTTATTTGCAATTTTCATTTCAGGACACCTCCTTAGTACACCTCCCTCTTGAATTCACGTGATAATCTCCCAACCTGAGCGTTGCAAGACCTAAATACTAATTTAATTTTCCTAATGTAGAGGCCCACATCAATCCTAAACTAAAAGTCCTAATTTATTCTATACTACATCAATTATTTAAAAAATCAAGGCTAGATATATAATTTGACACGTAAAAGTTAAAACACACTGTCCTTTAACATATAGTCATCTTTTCAATCCTCGGTCAATTTAACAAATTTGTGCAAACCTCTTGGAAATATCATGAACTCCCCACAAACTTTTATATCCATATTTTTTGCATAAAATAAAACCAAAAGATACAATAGGATAATAAATTTCATTTTGAGAAGAAAATCAATAATCGATGAAAATTAAAATGTTAATGATATCTAAGCCAAAATACCGGGCAACAAAAGAATCATGAAGAAAGCGAACAACAAAGATTTGCTAGTAAGAAATTCGAATTAACATACCCGCAAATTGCATGCCCAACCTCATGATATGCCACCAAGCTTTTGCTTTTTCCATCTGTCATCACAGTTCCCTCCATTCCTAATCCTGTCAATGGAATCATCTATCTCTTTAGACGAAATGGCCGTCTTTCCTCTCCGACCAGCCAAAATTGCAGCTTCATTAAGAAGGTTTGCAAGGTCTGCTCCACTAAAACCAGGTGTTCTCATTGCTATAACATCTAAAGAAACATCACCATCAAACTTCTTATTGCTAGCATGCACCTTCAGTATCTCTGTGCGTCCCTTTACATCCGGCACATCAACAGTAACCTGAAAAGAATTCTTAAATTTAAGCAATGCAAGCCAGGTTATGAAAACAATACTGCCTGTAACTACCAATCTGTAGATTAAAAGATCACCTTAGACATAAATGCATCAAAAGATAGATATTACTGAGACAGAAAAAAGGGAAATTTACATATGTAGAGCACAATTCTTATGTATTTACATATTTCATACCTAAACTCCCATATTTACATACATAGCACTTAGTTGTTTTAAAACGATGTATGAAAAGGTATATTTGACTTTTAAAATTAGTATTAGTGCTATTTTTTAAGTGATATCAAAGCTTTGAAGATAAAAGTTTGGGTGTGAGATATAAAAAGAATTTTTTTCTATGTATAAAAAAAGCATATTTACCCTATAATTAGCTTTATATCTACAATTTGGTGTAGACCCACCTGTCTATCAAACCTTCCAGGCCTTAGCAAAGCGGAATCCAGGATGTCTGCGCGGTTAGTAGCTGCAAGAACTATGATACCTGTATTTCCTTCAAAACCATCCATTTCAGTCAAAAGCTGGTTCAGAGTTTGTTCTCTTTCATCATTCCCCCCTCCAATACCCGTTCCTCGTTGCCTTCCAACAGCATCAATTTCATCAACGAATACAATACAAGGTGCATTCTCTTTAGCCTTCTTGAAAAGATCACGAACCCGTGAGGCGCCAACACCAACAAACATCTCCACAAACTCAGATCCTGAGATAGAGAAAAAGGGAACACCAGCTTCACCAGCAATGGCCTTGGCAAGTAGAGTCTTTCCAGTACCAGGAGGACCAATGAGAAGAACACCTTTAGGTATACGAGCACCGACAGCAGTAAACCTTTCTGGTTTCTTAAGAAACTCCACTACTTCCATGAAATCCTGCTTTGCTTCATCAACCCCAGCAACATCATCAAAAGTAACACCAGTGTTAGGTTCCATCTGGAACTTGGCTTTGGATTGACCAAATCCAAGGGGAAACCCTGGACCACCGGGTCCTCCAAGACCACCAGATGATCGTCTAGAGAGAAGGAACAGACCCCCAATGAGGATTAGTGGAAAAGCTAAGTTCCCAATTAAATTAAACAAAAGAGAGCCAGAATCTTCCTGAGCATTGTGAGCTGCAAAATCAATATTTTTCTCTCTTAATTTCTGAAGAAGTTCTTGACTTAAACCAGGAAGCTGCACACGCACTCTCTGCACACGATTGCCAAGTTCTGGTGAAACAGCCTCCACAATTGCTATGGTTCCATTCTCAAATAAATCCACTTTCTTTACTCTATCCTTGTCCAGATACTCCAAAAAACGGGAATATGACATTCTTGAAGAAGATACACCTTGCTCATCAGCATTAGCAGTTTTTGCACCAATTAAAGTAGACAATGCTAGACCAGCATTTCCATGTAACAGCTTAAGAAATTCTCTTCTTGATGAGAGTTTACTTTGGTTTAAAGAGGCACTAATAGATACTGTCTTCGACATCACATTGTGCAAAAGAAGACTTGATGAGGAAGATAGGCTCGTACCATACATTCCCTTGGTAAGAATAGCTTTTCCAGATGTTCTGGATACCCCATTAGAGGTGAGACATGGAGAAGAGGCAGCCATATAAGTTCACTGTAAATAAAGAAAAATGGCGTTAAATATATACTACAAAGAAAGGGCGAAAAGATAAAAAAACTTGTTGAAGATATAGCTTGAGAGAATTTGTCAAAAGACAAACCCAGGAAGAAAATGAAGGATACATTTCAATCAAATTTAACCAATTGGAGATATAGTTTGAGAAAATGAAGGTTAGGTTTATAAATAATTCATCCATCAATATTAGTTTGTATAAGATGCTTACCCGATTTTGATAAAATCCTATTATGCCAACCCACAACACTGGTGCATCTTCTTCTATTCATGATATACGTGCAAATCATCTAAAATATCACCATTATATTATCTCCAATAGGTTATTAACATTATGTCTATTAAATAATCATTCATCGCTCATTTCTTCATTTAAAAAATATGTATTCACATTTTTATTTGTGCGATACATAACGGAGTTTTCAATAACTTCTTTTTTAGCGTAGCATCAGGATCCATACACTGCAGGCAATTCTGATTGTAAATTTACAAAATCTACCGCACATGCACAACTTTCTCATTCATGCAACGCTCAGTCATACTCTCCATGACTTATTCATTGTTTGACATCAAATTAATATAACATACCAAGCTGAAAAGAAGAAACCTCTTCTTTCCTTCTTGGAAGAGTGCTATAAGGTCGTGTAGGGCGGTGCATAGCAGAGGAAAGTTTAGAAAGGGCTTTGGGGAATGCCTAAGGAAGGGCTAGCTTAAGATAAGAGAAAAAGCAGAAAAAATATTTCAAAATATCAGAACTCTTCATGTAGCATACTTTACGCTTCCAGAAGATTTTGTTTTGACAAAGTATGATTGGGAAAAATGCAGATAGATAGTGATTGATTGAAGAGTTACTATTTGATTCTATTGCAGAAATGACCGAGTACATTCAAATGGTACCCAAAATGCCACAAAAAAACAGAAAGTAATTTAATGTGCAAATTTAGTATTTATAAAGCTGAAATAAAATTTAATGTATCAAATTTTATGTTCAAATTAAATCTGATGAGGTAAAAATGGATTAATTTGCTTATAAAACTTTAATAATAGATATTTTAAATACTGAAAAATATATATGACCTTACTTGAGGGTGAGTTATCAAACAAATTTCAAATTATATTTCTTTGACACATTTCAAGCATTATTCTTTTGAACTGACTCGTAGAATAGGGTTTTGTATGCAAGGTGGTGGCCATCACGGGGTTTTCAACCAAGTTTATGAAATAACACTTTCTTCATTCTCTTGATCCAAAATAGCATTGATGAGAATATAATTTATCTAAAACATGAGATGAAAAGGTTCATCCATGGCTTCCTCATTGTGCTGTTCATGCAAAAATAAAGGACAGGCAATGCAAAATCTGCCTTTATCATCTGTCCCACTTCAATAACATCATCAAAGGTGCTATCTCTCTCCCTGTGTGTGTGTTTTCTAATCTTTTAAATGGTGTAATCATAAATGAGAAAAGTGTCAAAATAGTCCCTTGATTTTTTTGTAGGGGTCCATTTTAGTCTCGGAGTCTACAAAAGTGTCAATTTAGTCCCAAAACTCCAGTAAAGAAGCTAAAATAGTCATTTATGAGGACTGTTTCAGCTCATATTAAAAGAGTCTAAGGACTAATTTCACAATTAGGACTTAAACTCCTTTAATGCCAACTTTGTTGCAATCACTTTAAGTGCAAATGTAGAAAACTAACAAATAGATGTAAAATATATAAAAAACTAAGTAAATAATATTGGCTGTTTACGATAAAGCTTAAAATAAAGAAGAGATTACGAGAGTGTACATTCATGTCATCAGGTCATTGTACAATTAGGGAACAAAATTTAAACAGGAGAATATAATATAAACTGGTCAGTATCAAATGATTAAGGTTGGATTATGCTTGATTAGCTTGTACTCTTTTGTTTAGAAATAAGTTAAGCCAACTTACAACTTTAAGTTGAGCAACATAATATTTTTTTAGCAAGCATAAAACTGCGCATTAGGATTTGGCGGAATGAGAATAATACATCCATGTACATGCACTTTACAAGGATGCATGCCCCAAAGTGAAACAGATAAAGTTCAAATAACTTTAGTAAATGACGTGTTATTGTTTTGAAAAACAAAAGGAAAAAAGGCATAGTATTCTTCACAAAGTCATCTTTCATCTAAAATTTGATTCCAAAGTCATGTGTATTTGATGTCATCTGCAGGGAAACAAGAAGTTGTAGAAGGCCAACAAGGGTGTAAGGAACTTAATTAGCATCAAAATAAGGGAAAATATCCAAATTACAGCACAAACGCTTAAAACCTGTGTGAATAACCACACTAATGCACCATAGCCAAATTAAATTTCACAACAGAACCCTTATATCAGATCTCATCCATAAAAAAATCAGATATAGATGCAATATGCGAGATTTTAACTCCCAAAAACTTCAAAAACTAGGTTTCACTCAAAAACACTAAATAAATCTAAAAGAAATTTAAGAAAATTTAAGCTAAGAGGCGAACCAGAAGATAGATATGAAATATTAGAGAAAAGATACTCTACCGAGCAATCGAGCAATCGAGCAATCGAGCAATCGAGCAAGAATACCGAGCAATCGAGCCAACACTGACAATCCGAGGAGAATATCCGAAGAAATAAAAGTAGAGATTAAAAAACGAACACAGCGGCACCCTGAGCTCTCGCGGCGAAAGCTTTTCCTGATTTTGATTGGATAAGGAGAGGACAGCAGAACCCGCAAGCTTTCGAGGGGTTAGAATTTTTTTAGTTATATACTTTTATATATATATATATATATATATATCATGTAATGTATTAGATGGTCAATAACGTATCATTTTTATTGAGTGGGCGCATAGAATATATTACAACTGTTTCATTCATTTTTCTTTGTTCGACTCATTTATATTTCTAGCAAAAATATTTGTTTTTGTTCTGCTCACTAGGCTTAATGCGACGAGCTAATTTGACAAGTTTAATCAAGACATACTATAATACAATAAGCAACTGTGTGATCATAATCGATCGATACATTATTGCAAATGATTTAATCGGCGGATCATGCCTGCACTCCCAACCGACTAAGACGCATGCAAGAGCATTTGATCGCAAGCTGATAGACCGACCCACTTTTATTAGGCAGGCAAGAGTCATTCAACCTGGCGCCTCAGCGAACCGATATTTACATTGAAATGTGCGGTTGCCACTTTGTCAATCGTCTTAACCGATCGAATTCAAGCAGATAGACTAGCTAATTACTGTCATGTTAGAATTAAAATTATAATACAAATATGGTATAAAATCTATACAATCAATTAGTTTATCAATTATATTAAGAACATATTGTTTAATTGTTTGCGTATTTTTATAGTTGTACAAGTACACTCTTGTAAATTGGAGGCAAGAGAACAAATAAATAGTCATCCCTGGTTATCTCTATGTTCTCTTTATCTTAACTTATTCTATATTTCCTCTTGACTCGTTCATCTGATTCAAACTCTCAAGGCGTGTTCACAAATGACAATTTAGGATTCAACATATGTGTTTGAGTTAAGAACTAATATATATAATATTTTATTTGTTTTATTTAATTATTAGTTATTGGCTTGTTGCTAAGCTCACTTAATTTGAACTATTTTAAATGGAAAAACAAACATTCTTCGATTTAATCAAGCCAAATATGCCAAGCATTAGGTTTTCAATTTAACCAGTCGATCGACCGGTTCTGACCTACTTATAAAATTGAAAAAATATAATTATGAGAAGTTGTATTTCAATTGAGAAAATAATATATCTCCCTTGAATGCTCTATTTTTATGTGTCAGAATTTCCCTTTTTGCATCCATTAGAGGTTTTCTGCCTAATCCTCTATGGATCTATTTCACTTATTCCACTACCGAACTCCCTTTGACTACTAGCTGAAAAATGACATTTCCTCCCTTGTACCAAGCTCCTCTCCCCTCTAACCTCTTTTTTATTCCCCTTGCAAAAGAGAAAATCTCCTTTTCGACAGAGGAATCCTGGGATAGATATAAGCATTGGAACCTTGTTGTGGTCGGCTATGCTCTAGGTAAGAGGCCTCAATAATACAAGATATTAACGAGATCTGAAAACCCAAAGGCAATGGTAGAGCTTATATACATCTCTTACAGAAGCGCTATTTAAGTACGTCATACGAAGACAATTATACGTGTGTATGACCCCAAATAACTTTTCAATAATTTTGTTATTGGGGGTATTAACTCTAATAACACTTCAATAACCTCTCAATAAACTGCCAATACATTATGCGGCTCGACGCTTATCTTTTTCCTCTCAATTGAAAGTTTTGTGAGGTTATTGGGGGTATTAACCCCAATAACAACGACATAACCCTTCAATACCCCATGAATAACCGTCATACACACACAAATATTTTCCCTCTTACAGAAGGGTTTTTTAGTTTAATTTAATTTATTTTTTTAAATGGAAGATATGTATATAGTTTTATAGGTATTCTCTAGTTCATAACAAGTAAACTATTCATTTCCAAAAAAATAAATATTCTGCTTTCAAACAGCTAAGGAAGATTTATCTAATGTTTTATTATGGTTTAAGATACCCAATTTCCCTATATGTTGATGGACAAAGAATGATATATCTGATGTTGTCAGCACTTTTGAGATTCCTCTGGTTGTAGATCGATTGATTGCCAAATGTACTTTTACTCAAGTGAGTGTACAAATCAACATCCTCTCCACTCTCTTGGTTTTCTGTTACTTTGAATGTTAACAGGCAACATGCTATATAACCCATAAATTACAAATGGAAGTAGACTCCTCGCACGACCTGCAACAACTTTGCCCATGACCCAATCTCACCTCACGAATTGCCCAACTATAAACCCCCTTCTATCAAGTCACCTAATCACCACAACAGCCGCTGCAGAAACCGTGCCAACCTACCTCCCTGTAAACAACAGTAACATAAATCTCTCACAACATATCTCCTACATCCCAAACACTAATACCCTCTCGCCTCTTTCTTCTCCTCATGCATGACTAGCAACTCTTCTAAGGACAACCGTGTTATATAAAAACAATATATATATATATCTGTGTGTGTATTGTATAGATATATACATATACATGTCCAATGTAAAATATACATATATATTTAATTTGGTGGCATCCATGTAAAATTGCTTTTAGAAAATTGCTAATATTTGAGGAGGGTTCAGTTCTCGATCTCTGCTTCGATTAGTTGCCATCGAGAATGTCAGCCTCGTTTTCGTCGTCAACCTTGGCCGCTCCCGCTTCTTCTCCGAAGGTTTTCTTCTTTTCTTTAGCCCTCTTCTGGTCTGGGCCTCCAATCTGTTACCGCGTTTGATTCATTCCCACGATGCTTTCTGAACTTGAAGCAGTTCGGCAAATGGCCCGGATCGGCACGATCTCCTTCGAATCGTCTGGTCCACTTCCGGCGATCGTTTCCAACAATCCTTGCATCAGCCGGAAATGCCTCTTCTTCTATTGGCACTGGTATGATTTTAACTAATACCCCTTTCATTCACTCCAATAAATCCGATCGTATTTGCTTGATTCCGATTAGTCGAAATGCAGGAACGAAAACTGAAATGGATGCTGTGTCTAGCTTTAGTGAGATAGTTCCGGATACAGTGGTTTTTGATGATTTTGAGAAGTATGGGGTACTTGATAATAAATAAGCTGTTCTTTAGTTGGCGTCCGGTGTTTCTGATGATTTCATGATTTGAGTGCAGGTTTCCTCCCACGGCCGCTACTGTTAGCTCTTCGCTCCTTTTAGGAATTTGCAGCCTTCCAGACACCAGGTTCAAGGTGAGGAAGTGCAGAGCTTTGGTGACTTTGGTTTTATCTAATCAGCACACGATTCACGGATTTAGATGATTTACTTATTCAAATTATTAAAAACAATGGCTCTGTTGCAGAGTGCTGTAGAGATTGCATTGGCGAACAGCGAATGTTACGAACAAGAGGAACCTAGTGACCGGATGACCTGCTTCTTTAACAAGGTCATTCTTATTATGCTAGAATTTGAGGATTTGTAGTTTTGAGGGATTAGTACTTGTTTCTTATAATGCAACGATTATACATTTTCTTCATTTGCAGGCTCTAGTGAATGTTGGTGCTGACTTGGCCGGATTAGTCCCAGGTCGGGTGTCAACAGAAGTGGATGCTCGTCTTGCTTATGACACACGAGGCATCATTCATAAGGTAGAATCATATCCATGATTTTCTTTTCTAGTATCCTTGTTTTCTCAATGACCAAATACTGGAATTTGGTTTACAAATTTAGCGAAGAAGTCATCTCCCATTCAAAAATCTTCTATATGAAGCCCTTATTAACATTTTCTTGGCATGTACTACGCTTCTGATGTTATGCTTTTGTTGTTTAGACGTGTCGTGACTAATTGTAGCAACTAGACTCAGTCCAGCTAAACCTGGAAATGAGTGCTAATATTTATACAAATCTTGACATAAATACAACTAGCTGCGTAGGATAGAATATGGATTAGCTCAAATCATTGCCATTGTGCAGAAACGCTTTTTGTAATATGGATTAGCTCAAAATATTGCCTCTGTGCAAAAATACATTATTATTATTGTGTATTTCAACCATTGATTACTTATGACCTTGTTAAATGCGCATCATAGTTCATAAAAAATGTTTAGCATGATCAGGAATTTTGTTTTAATGATTTGTGGTGATCAAACATATAGTATAAATTATTTGTCAAAATGTGTTTTTAAAAGTAAATTGTAGTTATTATCTATCACATTGCACACCAAATAAAGCTGGTCATTGTCCTTGATTGGACTGTATACGATTCATGAGGCTCCGAACCTAAGTTTAAGCGTGCAACCTTTCATGCATGACAAGCTTTTTATTGTCCATGATTGGAATGCATAGCTTAAAATTATTTTTATTTGGATAAATATCCTTAAAATTTTTTTCTTGCCCTCTTATCAACTTGAAATATTATCATAAGTTATTAGAACCAGCAAACAACCAATTTCGACATCAAGTTCGCCAATAATCGCTAGGTTATTATAACTAACTGAAAACTTTATGAAAAGAACATTAATTATAGTATAATATATCTAAATTCAACATCTTCAATGAGACTAATAACCCCAAAATGCTCATGACATTCTTCAAGGGGACCCATGATAATATTGGGAGCAATAATGCCCTTCTTTGATGTTAGTTCATAAATGGCCTTTTCGAGATGTCGTTCAAATGGTATGCAGAGCTTACAAACCACTCGTTTGGTGTTGACAAAATGGAGGGATTGTCTTTGCTCGATTGAGTTTTTCAATTATACACCCGTATGACTTGTTAGCCATGGTGTCTCGGCTGATGTGGCCAAGATATTGGGCCTTGGTTGAAGGAAGAGTCACATAAGTGTTGTCTTCTGGGCCCATTCTTACCGAACCAGAGCAGGACCCCAATCTTGAACGAAATCTTGAGGGGAGGAGAATGCTGTCTGGCACTCAACAACTCTCGTGTTAGCATTAGGAAGCAGTGATTGTTGACTCCAAATGTGAGTTCATAGGAGATGGGTGAAAAAAGATATAAAGCAGACTAGTTGCCAAAAGAGGTGCAATCCCGGGCTCTATCTACAGGTTCTGACACCCACAGGGTCATTCCAAGAGCTTGGTAGTAAGGTTTTGATATTCCTTTCTCCAGATGAGTGCATGGAAAGCTGTTTCTTTTCTTGCCTTTCTCTCCTGTATAAATAGTTGACCAGACAATTGGTTGTTTGCTAGTTTTCATTTTTTTTCCTGGCCCAATTGCAGCGAAACTGAATAAAGAAAATATGATAGGAAGAACTCCTGATTTTTTTTGCTGCTTTGTAACATCTGTCTACTTTAAAAGCTGCCACCAACCATTTGGTTGAGTGATGTCTTTGAACTCCAAAATTGAAGTCAAAGTGGGTGTTCTATTATCGGCAAAGAAGAAAACCTACAATCTGATTTTAAATATACGATTTTACTTTTAACTTTAGTGAAAGATATCATCTTTTGCGTGTTACACTTGATCTTGTTAAAATTTTTACATAAACTTACGTGATAAGAAATAAATGCTTCACAACTCTTCTGCTGTATTGTGGTAACATTGACTTCCATTTAAATATGATTTGCCTGTGTTTGAAAATTTCAGGTGCATGAGCTGTTGCGGTTATATAATGAGGCAGGGGTTTCTTCAGAGCGCCTCCTATTCAAAATTCCCGCGACCTGGCAAGTATGATAATGATTCATTGATAGAATTCTAATATTTAAGATGACCTCCCATCATCCTCTCTCGACAAACTAATGCTTGGTTAAATCTCCCCTGTATTTCAGGGAATTGAAGCTTCGAGGTTGCTTGAAGCTGAAGGAATACAAACGCATTTGACTTTTGTTTATAGGTATGTAATAACTTAGCGTTATCTTCAAATCCCAAGACACGGCTCATTTTGCTTTCAATTTTTCTATAATATTTATTTAGCCTGAAACATACTAGAGCTTTGTCTCTGTCACACATGTTGACAAGACGTGCTGTTTTCTTGATATTATTGAATTACATGATTAGAGTGCTGTAGAGATTGCA